AACAAAACCTCAATGCTGATGAAAAGATTGTTTCATCTCTATCAATTAAATGTTTGGCCTCTTTATTAACACTGACAGAAAGGCTGCCAATTAAAATGAATATGTACTTAGTGACATAATTGTGAGATTGACCTGCATTAGATTTTATGTAGTGACTGTGACAGAATGCCACCTTGGTTTCTCCCCAAAAATCTCTGCCCTGTGACACTGTGATTTAAATCTCTGTGCTGTGACCATTCAATCAGGATGGGCCCAGCACACAGGGGACCACACCCTCAGCCTGTCTCTTTAGGGAACTGGAGCTGGCTGCATTCCTGAGGGAGGGGGGAAACCTGCTCCCTCTGCTTACGTGACTTGCATCACTTACCTGGGTAAGGGGTTTCTACCTGGGGAGCTGGGATCTGCCCGGTAACAGGTGATGCATTTCAAATTGGTTGGCTGACAGCCAACTGGGGCTGACCTCCGCTGGCCCAGGTGAATGAGGTCACAGGGGCTATATAAGTTAGGACGGGGAAGGAGGCGGTCTCTCCTCTCCGGCCATGAGGTGACGCAGCAGCCAGGCAGGGGACAGAGAAGCCTTAACATCTGAAACTGGCTCTCTCCCCCCAAACTCACGAGCTAGGAACCGCCTGCCTCCAAAGGGAAACTTCACCTGCCTTTGGAAGATGCTTGTGAGTAAGCTACTCAATCTGATTAGATATTTAGCTGGAAGTATCACAGATGCGTAATCAAAAGGCTACCACAGCCAGACTGTTTGCTCTTTAGGATTTCTAGATATTGCTCTATCCTGTACCCTAGTTTACCCTACCCCCTGTAATCAATAAAGTTCTCCTTTTTGACTGGTGTGGGAGACTTATTGAGGGGTGGGTCTAAATTATGCCTAAGAGACCCCTTAGGTCTGTGGACTAAGGGAGACTTTTGCCCCCGGACTTGGGGAAGTACCCCAAGTGCCTGTACTGGGTTGAGTACCCGTAGGACTTTAGGCCTGTGTTACCCCAAGGACACAGGGCCACGTGACAGTCCATTCTTGGGGTGGTGGCGGCACGTTACCCCCAGACTAGCGAGTGTGCTCCGGGAGAGGGATCGGCCGGACATAAGGCACCCCTAGGGAGGCATTCGGAGCCTGGAAGGTGGTCGGGCACAGGGAGGTAGGTGGCTCAACGCAGGAGCACCCCCTACTGGCCGGCCTCACGTGGTGGAAACAGCGGAGGGATATGAATATCCAGCTGTGTTCCTGAGGTGGGATCTCTGCACCCACCACAGTGACCTCCAAACAGAAAGGGTCTCATCTCATTACCAACTCTCTCCACTATAAGTGATTGATATTAGACCTAACCCTACACCCAGCGAGGTAAATGGCATAACTCAAAATTTCTTGTAGTAGTTACAGGATCAGGCCTCCTTTAAAGCCTTCTTCAACAAAAGAGAGGTATCTGATTCAAGAGCCTTGATATCAAGACACATTGAAATTAAATATTAAAAGGTAAAGAAACCAACATAAAGAGCATCAAGAAAACTGATGTACTAAATCCCACAATCCATCCATTTATATGAGGTGCATCATCTCTGTCCCACAGAGAATTTAACACATGAATTAAAATAATATCTATGTCTATTCCAATAGAAACACCTAAAAGACACAAAATAATTATTTATCAAAGGATAATTCTCATTCAAAGGTTTACATTATTTTTCCAAGGCTGAATCACTTATATTCTTGATTGGTTTAGTTAATTTTCCTGATCTGCTTTTCATTTACCTTTCACTGCAAGCCATTCTCAGAAGGAAGAGTGGGGATGGTCACATAACAAACATCTGGTGTTGTCTCATGCTGAAAAGAGACCCCCCACACACACACTTTTATCTGGAATCAGCAAATAAATTAGAAGAACCTCTCCACTGAGATTTGCTCCAATAGTGCTCTTACATTTGAGGACTTCATTTTTTCTGAAACACCAGCCTGCTAAAATGCATCATATACTCTAGAGTATGGGAGACTGCTATCTGAATTAGTGGTGGACAGCAATAAATCTCCAAGAAAAAGTGAGTGGGGTTCTGTTCAAGATGGTTGGTGTTATTGATACGGAGGATGAGAACATTGGAGTATCTCAAGATTGATGACTAACAAGTTTAGAAGGTTCCAACACTAGCAAACTTCTGAGGCTCACCTGAAGCAAATCTTAAGGAGTGATGAGAACCTTATCATTTATTTGTACTTTAACATGAAGTGACTAGTTGCTTCATCCTCTCCCCAGTACTCATGATATGACAGAGGAATCCAGGGAAACAAAACAATACAATATTAGTAACTGTTATGGAATTAGTTCTATCCTGCCTCAAAATTTATTAATATTACTAGTTTGTTATACATTTTCTCTTTTGTCAGTTAAATTAATCTTTCCATGCAGGTAATACACATATAGTCTCTATTTTCCTGATGACTTTGCTTACTTCTTATCCCTTTTCAGCACATAATGTACTGTGGCTCTAAGAAAATTAATGCTTCCAAGTGTAGATGTTTTATATGAGTCAGCAAAGCTAGCACGGAGTTGATGACACCTTGTATGCCCAAGGGAGCTGACATTCACAGCTTAATAATTTTTTTTCTGATCTTGTGGCAGATTATAGTGCTATAGATAAATGGGCCAATGAGTCTATTTGAAAACATTATCTTGTGCTTGCATAGCAATTTATGTAACTCACATTGCAAGAAAGAGCAAACATGAACATAACCCATTAAAGGCACAAGTCAAGAATAACCCAAATAAATTCAGAATGCTGCTGTTTCAGCTGGTATTAGCTGAATCTCTTTAACCTTTTGCCAGCTCTTTTAAGCAGCAAATTTCTTCATGCTGAACTGGGTCTCCATTTGAGTGAAATGGAGATTGGAATTTCCACAGTGAATACATAAAGGAACTCTTTGTCTCAGTCATTTTATTTCTGCATTTTAAAAGTTCCTATTATATAGCTAGCTCAGTGGGCAACCTAGAAAAGTGTTGAGGTATTTTGCTTCACTCAGAGTATGTCTACACATGCCATTAGTCATGACTAAATTTATTGTGCATTAGCTTAATGCACAGTAAGCAATTTTGGCAAGTGTCTACATGTGCAAGGTTCTGTCACTAAATTTAGTGCCAGGTCACTCCAGTCCCGCAATATCCCTCTGTGGCCACTGGGGGGAGGGGGGAGGAGTGCCAACCTGTGGCCCCAGCTGCCAGCACTTGGTAGCCATGTTTGTAGCCAGACCTAGCTGCCAGCACTTGGCAGCCATCTTTAACTCCCCCCCCCAACACACACACACACACACACACACACACACACACAGTTATTGAGCAGCCACTTCCAGCACTGAGAGAAGCAGCCTGGTACAGACACAAGCAGCATGTAGCAGCTCTACTTCTGTCTTGTCTGCAGTCCTCAGATATGGCTGCCTCAGCCCCTGGCCCTGGCACCCAGGAACAGGGACCCCAGATCCTGCTGGCCACCTTGGTCATCTTGCTGGACCTGAATGGAGTGAGATAGCTCTCACCCTGTTCTCATGAAGAAACTGGGGGACTGTGG